GACTAACTTTACTTATCACGATATTGTATGAATATTGATGTAGTAAGGCTTTATCATTTTAAAGTAAATTAAGGTATGCCACGTATAAGGCGTAGATATACAGATAAATATATAGTACCATTTATTCCTAATCTTCCACAGTTTTCACACACACATTTAAGTTTATTAAAGAATAAAATAATACCGAAATTTATAATAATTAATTTTACAAGAGAGTATTGGTTAGTATAGTTAAAGTTACTTAACATATTGCAATTTACTTATCATACCATTTACATTTTGTTTTTGCGCAAGTAACGGTCAATTTCATTATTGGTATATTGACTCTACTTTCCAGGCAATTTAGATAGGCTGCTCAAATGCTAAGATCATTTTGTAGGCTATAAAAATAGTATGATAGACAAAAGAATAATAAATATGAAAACCGATTTTTTTAAAACCGTTGGTTGATATTTTGTGTCTTTTATAATTATTCTTTGTGAATTTCTACTCATAACTATAGCATGTTGTGCTAATGAATTGATTGAAATTATTTTTAGATTATACAAAATTACATTGCATTAAAATTATTCGAATAATCTTTTTGGGGGATATTCGATTAGCAAAATTACTCACGTCTCGGCTAATCGGGAAATCGTACCGTGGACGGCAAATGGATTCATAGCGGAAATCGGTATTTTTTGTAATTTGTTGGTGATAAAAAATAAGTATTAAAGCTGGTTGGATAATTTTAGTTCAACGCTCACTTGGATATTATTTCAAGATGATTTTGTTACAAAAATATTATAGAATTTGAAAACGTAAAGTGAAATTCATGTTTTCGTATAGATACCTCCGAAAATGCCCTTTTTTCTAACTCTAATGGTTTTTACTAAAGGAATACCCTGGTATGCTTTCGAGGATCTATCGTTTTGTATCGCCACCTCGGGCTCGGGCATGACCTGTTATGACCTTCAAAAGAGGTCTCAACATTCCCAACCTCCATAAAGTCATGAAGGCAATCATTATAAAGAAAATAATATTGATCTCCATTTGTATTTTTTCTCCGATTTGATCTAAAAATATATTGATCTGCTCCGCGTACTTAAATTGTCCAATTACATGTAGTCATCTTAAAAATAGGCTGAGGTTTCTTGAAAAATTATACCGCTTTTAAGAATAAGTTTGTTTTTCACTTTGTCAAAATTTGAAGCCGGTTTTATTTTTTGAAAATGTTTTTATTTCATTATTTTATTGATATATATAGGTACTGTATATAAATATTTTGTAACCGCAAACTTATTAAAGAAAGGCCAGGTCAAGACTACCCTAAATCGGCGTTCTTGTATGAAAAAGTTGATGTGTGTGAAGGAGGTGAGAGAGCTGTGTCAGGATCGTGCAGAATGGAAAGAGGTGATATATAGATAGATTGATGACTAAAATATTTAAATATATATAAAAGAAATGATATTTACATAACGAAAGTCTTGAAATTTTTATTTATTTGCAAATTTCATGTCGAAACCACGGCGAAATCGGTGAACATACCCACTTGCATAAAACATGTAACCTGTTGTTATTTCGCTGATATAAACAAAATATTTAGATGATTAGAGTAGCTCGGTGGCGTAGTGGATAAGCGCCGCGGCCCGCGATCGTAATCGTTAAGCAACTTTCGCAAGGGTCGGTCACGGGATGAGTGACCAAAAATTATTATCTCGAGCCACTTCGTGCTTCGGAAGGCACGTTAAGCCGTTGGTCCCGGCTGCATTTGCAGTCGTTAATACCCTCCAATCCGCATTGGGCCAGCGTGGAGGGTCATAGCCCATCCTCCTTAACCATCCATAAGGAAGGCCTGAGCCCCTGCAGTGGGGACGTAAAAAGGCTGGTGATGTGATGTGATGAATTTAGATGATATCTGATAAAAAGCAAAAGCTTTGTTATAAAACAAAAACTACTGATTCAATTTCTATATAATTTAAGTGTGGTCCCACTAAAATTTTCGCCTACCATGCCTACCATGCGGTGGTGCTCATAGTTTGGTAAGTAAATACTGTCGATTGTATTTAAGCATATCAGACCTCCATCGCGTGCTAGAGGGTTAACCTACGATTAACGATAAGTAAGAGTTTACTTATCGTTTTTCTTTCGTTATTTTATTCACCGCCATTACAATTAAGCGATGTAAAGTCGACTATTTAACGCCGCCTTGCCAGTTTCATATTTTAAACATATTGAATTTTAAGATATGATTTGCCACGTAAAATAAACACAGGAAGGTCCACATGATCCTTCCAAATAATTTTAGTGTCGCTTTAACTCATCAAAGTCATTAAATGATATTCAGTTGCGTGCATGTAACCCAAACGATATGATAACCGAATATTTAAGATGACTAGCGGTTTTTCTACGACTTCGCCCGCGTTAATTATACTCTAAAGCCCGGTTTTTGAATTGAGAATTTAAAGTTAAGCACGTCTCAGGTTTTTGTTTCTCATTTTTTTTATGGTCAATTGATAGCAGCTTGATAAAACTAGACCTAACTAGATAAAACTTTTTGCTATGTGGAACATAAAAAACTTAAAATATTGAGAATAAATAGTTGAGAATTTTTGCTTTTTTAAATTCATAAACCGGTCGTTTAACACCAGTGTAAGAGGGAGATTTCCGAGGGCATTTTTTTTTCATTCAGCCCAGAAGTTTCCGACCCTGTTCAATGTAAACAAAGAATCAAAACTTCCTCTGTATAATAATAGTAAGATGATAAAAGTGATGGTAAGACCTAAAAAGAAATAATCTAATACGACGGTCGTCAATGTTATTGCATTTATGAAATCCCAATCTAAGTAGTTTAAGCAAGTGCCTTAAAGAAACCAGAAACAACTAAAGCACAACATATAGTTTTTATATTTTACTCGAATATACCTGGAACTTTGACTGTCGTATGACAAGTAAATTATTACTTTTAATTTCAAATCTACGAGTATCTTGGAGTATCTCTAGTCAATAAAAATGACGGTTAGTTCGGGTGCTGAGAGTTTATCAATTCTCGATGATTTACCATATATTATATCAACTAACTTTAAGAAGTATAAGTTGAGTCAAAAGTTTGGAAAAATTTGTAGATATAAATCACTAGCACTTAAGCTAGGAGCGTCTTCTGCCGGCGGTCGTCGAATTTGTGCCAACATGCAAAAATAACACGAAAAATCAATTGCATAGTCGAGTTTGTCGGCCATCCCAGCAGTCTGATTGTGATTCTTAACTGCTTCACACTCTTGTGATATCGTTTTAGAACTTCCATAAAGCTTCTCAAGGAAGATTTTTTAAAACTAAGTAATATCAATATTCAATTAAACCAAGATTTAGGGCTCTACCTTCTACTGAACTAGATACATTATAAATTGTAAGAACTTTATATTAATACCTTTTAGATATAGAGAATTTGATCAAGTTTTCCAGTTCCAAATTTATTTATGGAAAAATTCCAGCCAGTGTGTGTTTATATTAAAAAGTTCTGATTTGTGCTTCTTAAAGTGCGTGTTATTAAACTTGCATGCATAACAATTGCTTTAATATTACCTACGACACACTTTTTTATTACAAGATGATTGTGATATCTTATGTTGAAAATTTTTAAGTGTATTCTATAATGTTATCCAACAAAACAACTTATCGCATTTTGTCACTTCTACCTATTTGTTTCAAACGCCAATTGTAAAATTTTAAAATAGTAAACAAATTATTGCATGATAATGCATGCCGAATAATTATTTTACAGTGTAATTATGATACGCACGTAAAAAAATTACAGAATGTGTTTTTAGATGTTGTATATAGCCTAAAGCGCCAAATTAGGCCTTGTCATCTTGGGTTCGCTAAATTTGAAGCTTTGGGTCAATGAGCTTGGGCTTTGGATTCAATTCATTCCAAAAACGAATGATACAAACGTTTCTATTATGTCTGTTCTGTTTGAGGTGATGCTATTTTTCTTGTTGAGTGCTTTATAATATGAAAACAGTGCCAAAAATCTGTATGTGATCTTGATATTGACAATATCGTATTATTTTATGTATGCAGCTGTTTCCCCGCAACTTTGGCCACGTAAAGTAGCCTATGTCACCCGTGCATGGTGTAGCTTTCCCTTGGTGAAAGAATTGTAAAAATCGGTCCAGTTGTTTAGGGAGCACATTCGATGCAAACAAACAAATAAAATATTTCCTATTTATAATATTAGTATAGACTACTTCGGGTTTGCTGGATTTTAATTTATTTCAAGTTGCTATATTGCGTGAAGTCCTATTAATTAATATGAATTGACACAATGTAGGTAGTTTTGATGAATTATCTTTAACATAACTGTGTTGATAAGGCTTAAAATTTAAATGTTCCGTTGACACGGAAATTAACCTTCGGTTTTAGTTAAACACGAACTACAAATTATACTGTGTGGTTACATTAAACTAAGTGAAAATGATGGATGTGGTCCGAATTACTAATATTTATTAATATAATCCTGTATATTTTGTAGCTATGGTAACTTACAACATGCTTTTGCGTCAGTCGATAATTTCCTTGCTGTGTTAATGCTCGTATTTTGGCTTTCAAAGTGGTTTGTAGAAGCAGCTTTGTAGATTTTGTTTTTTTTTTTAATTTTAAATTCTTTTAAAGGAATGTCAAATTCAAGACTGCCTTCATATAAACCAAAGTTTAAATCGCTTATAAGCGCAAAGGTATATGGTGATTTTTCATTAGTCTTTCATTTTTACAGTAAGTCTGTTATTCATTTAGCCGTGTAGTAAGTATATTTAAGACAAACAATATACTTTATTAAAAGAAGATATATTTAAGAAGGCTATTTTCAAGGTCAATTAGAAAGTGTCACACATCATTTTCTTATTTTTGAAACCGAAAATAATGAGGAATCACCATTTTTGAACGAGTAATTTACTGGATAAGTAAACATTTCAAATGTAATTTGGAATATTTAATTCATAATAATTGCTACGTTTGGTGCGCAGGAGTACGAGGAAGAAGGCAGACGGTCGCGTCGGCACTCATCCCCTTGCAACTCGAGAGAGGGCAGCACCACCGCATTACACACACAACACTACGACGACGCTGTGAGTATTATCAAATTTATTTTCCGACTGTGTTCACTCAGCAACACATCACATTACCACAAAGTGTAAAATATCAGGCCTCTAAACTCTCAAGGTTTTAAGGTTGAAATCTATTTGAAAAATTAGACAGTATATAACCTAATGTGCAGTTGACTGTACATATATATAGATGGGACTTGAATAAAAAATCAACTGATTAACATATATTTATAACAATATATCCTTCAAGTGGATGGGGCTTAAAATTTTATGAAACTAGGTTGATAATAAAAAGGGGGAATATAAAAATGTGAAATTCAACAAGAAGACTGACATCGCAGAAGGTGGTTAAAACCGTCGCTTGGATTGCAAACAGATTCCAGATTTTCGTATTTTGAGATTTGTATCCTAGCCGGAACTAGTCAATTTTTTATAGTGCAAATAAAGAATAACTAACTTTACAGTCACTCATGATAGATGTTACGGGTAATATATCTAATCTGACAATGTTCTATTATACTATGAACAGCAAATATAACCTTCAGCAATTTGAGTTCAGTAAGAGCATACATGATTTATATACCGTCAAGTAAATGCTACCCTATTAGTTCTGCGATCCTTTCTTATTGCTACATTATTCATTTGTATTTTATATTCTGTGGTCTTCCTACAAAGAAATTCAAGGCCAGTAGATGTCCCCTATTCAGTTTCATCCGTAGCGTAGTGAGTTCAGCAGTCAGCCATTGTCCGACTGTCGTATAGTGGCGTCGTCATTTCCTCGTCGCTCGTTTCTGAGCATATATTTTGGCAGCACGCCAGAATTTGCTACATCTCGATCGCCGTATCGAAACTATCTAAATGAATATGAAAAATTACCCACTCTTACGAACGAATATTCGTTTTAATTCTGCACAGCTAATTTAATGTCATCGATATATTTGTGGTGAAAATGATTTATTTGCTTACCATTAGTTTCACAGAAACATCAAGTGGAAACTAAATTACACACTTCTATAGTCAAGCGCATAAAATTTGCCGATATCTTGTTTGAATGGTGACAGGGCCTACCCGTCCAAATAGGGAAACTAAGCAATTGTCTAGGGCGTTCGTAATTGGGGACGGCATGGCATGGTAAAACGATTATGTTTGTTCTATATATTTGAAACTTAAAAATTCAGTACCTACCTAAAAACTTATCTTTTGTTCTTTAAACATGAGTCCATGGTATTCAAGAGGACAATTTTTCTAAACCAGCAACACCTACCTTTAGGACTTGTTTTTATATTTAAGAAATTACACTCAGTACCTACATTTGTCTTGTATTTTGTAGTGATTTTTTTTATGGGCGTCGTTCCATTGTTTCGTTTGCCTAGGGCGCCAAGTTTCATTGAGCCGGCGCGGCGCTGGGTAGTGAACAAACAAAACAAGTTGAAAATTAACATTTATTTTATAAGGTACTAAAAGAGATTCAATTATAAATTCTTACAATAATATGCATTTTATCAGTCTAGTTACAACTATAAATTAGTTCCTAATTCTACTGTATGTATATTCATATCTATTACTGTATCTAATCAGAATCTAAGACAGAATGAGCACAAATCTGTCTTAGATGTCTTTCGACCATTTTGTAATATAAAAAACATTATCATTCGCAAAAAAAACCTTTTAAAATATAACTTAGTGCTCAGTATAAACCCTTGAGTAGAGTTGTCATCTTGTATGGATTTGAATGGCGGGCGATGGAAACTGATGAATGAAAGTCGATTGCATGTGAATGAAATGCATATGCTATGATGGATTATGGTATGACAAAATGACGTATGTAAAAGTAAAGTGAAGTACATTAGGGGAAGTTTGAAAGTAGCACCGATGAAAATAATGTAAAAGCAACAAACGAAGAAATAATGAGAAGGGATGATTTGCATGTGACAAAAAGATTTATGATCATGAATGTGAAAGGAAATGTAAGGATGTCAGATGGACAGACAAGGGAAAAGATGGATAAATTTTTGAAGAAAACGATGTGTAAGAAATGAGTGCAAATGATGAAATATGGAAGACGGATATATATTGAAATAAAATAATTGTGATCAGGACAAGCAAATGACGATGAGCTTTTTGCTGAATTTGTATTACTTTAAACATATTCGGCCACCTATTATTAGTTCGAATCCTCCCACATAACATGGTGACTTTAGCGCGTTCAACGTGACGCTTCTTGCATAATAGATTCCGCAAATCACGCCCATTTGTTTTCTACAATAATACCAAATTAATCGCTTAGATCGCTAATCGGCCTTCGCAGGGCCATCCATGGGGCAAGTTAAAGCTAAAATAAACCTAATATCGTCGGGTATGGTCATAGTTTCTCTTGCAATGTCCTCCTTAGCTCTTCGGTGGCTTTAGCGAGGTCTTTATTGTCGCGATGACGTTGCTTGCTTCCTAATTCTCCGGCATCTTCCAGGTAGTCTTTTGGTGGTTCCGTTGGATATTTACTTCCAAACTTAGGCCTGGGTATGCGGACACGTTTCACGTCATCTAACCAGCTCTCCATGTCGATTTCTACAATCTACGCTTTATAAAACCTGAAAAAAAAAGAAAAGACATCTTTAAAACACTTATTAACATTTTGCTAACATTATTTCGCTAATCCGATTGTTATTTAAATATGTTTCCGGAAGTAATTAACCGATTGTAATAGCGAACCTTTAATAAACGAATTGAAAAAGCAGAAACACGCACTAGCTTAGTTAAGCGTTGGCCAATAGTTGTGCAAACCATAACGATGGTCAGTGGGATGGTGAAACATTATTGCAACTTGTCTTATATTGTTGGATCTCAATAGTAAGCAATGAGAAACCAAATGAAAAGCACATTACGTACGTAGATAAATCTAAACTATCCATTCGTACGAATATTAATATTATTTTTTTTTTAACTCATGGCGTGTGTGTAGTAACTACTTATAATGATAAAGTGACAATAAAGACATAGACCTACATATTTATTCGTGTTTCTATGTCACGCGCTTGTTTATGTGTAAAATAAAACGATAATTGCGCCAATCAAAAAGACAAATATTACACAGTATATCTTTATCCATTAGAGTGTCTGGATTTTGATAAAAGCTCATTGCATATTTATTGATATTTTTAGAAAGATTGCTCCATTTTTTTTTTAAAGTTAATTGAGTAAAACTGAATGTGCTGGATTATAACATATATAAACATAATTCAAAGAAACGGTGTAAGTAGGATTATCTGGCTATATTTTCATAAGTGAGAGCAACAGAAATATATCGGTAGTACTACTGTAGCTTGATTATAATTACTGTTTTATGATATAAATTATGGTATGTTCAAAATTTGTGATATTAATTTATGGAAAAGTTGAGCGGTTTACAGAAGATGTATTTGTACGTAACTTTTTGATAAATAAAACTGACTTCAAAATCGCAGAAATTGGTGAATGATCATACATCATAAATATATATATTCATTGAACGTAGAAACTCCTCCATTTCGATTTGGAAGTCGGTTAAAAAGAGAAACATACTTGAGGTGTTTGAAAAAATTATATAATGAGAGATATAACTTCACCGTATTGAAAGAAATACAAAAAAATATTGTATCGTATGATTTCTCCATAGTATAATTTACTACTATGTAATAAAAATTAATTGATTACCGAACATAAAATCAACAAAAGAATGGGTAAGTTCTCCGCAAAAGTTAATTTAATTTTCTATTTAGTTATTAATGTAAAACAAGTGATTAATATCTAGCGCATCTTCAATAAGACAAAGATTTTTAATGCTCCAATGACTTTCTCCAGTGAAAGTAAGTCTAAGTGAAGCATCTATTTCAACTCTATTTGCCGCTTTCGAACTTCTTATTTTTATTATTACATTACACACAAAATATATAAATTCGATATCTTATTAAAAATTGTATGACACTCAGTTTGAAGAGAATTTAGAGTTTATAAACGCCGTTTATTTCGCGCTAAACCTCGTTTTTGGTTTTTATGACATTAAAATTTACAAAGTTTCGAAAAACTAACAAATTAGGATTGTTTTAGTGTTATGACTGTAATTTTATAGTTTTTTTTTTGTATTTTCCATGGTAAAAGTGGGTTGCAATGTTTTTCGCACATGTAGCGAATTAATGATAGATATAACGCAATTACTCGTTTGGAACGTCTACTTTATCAAAGTGAATAACAATGCACCAACATAGTTGCTACAATTTGCCGGATATTTTGTTTACATCTATTTCTGCTCCAAATATTTCCCGTATATTTACTGTAAGTGAGTAATAAGTATGTTAATTTATTCTCGATAACGTTCGATACGAACCTTGAACCGTTCATGACTTGCATCTTAAGAGGCTATCAGACCCTGTACTGAGGAAGTAATATCGGATCATTGGGGTATTTGTGTTTTCCCTAGATAGCGCTTGTTAACGCTAACAATGTATGGTGTCCTGATTTACAGCGATACAGTTTCTTATTAAATAATCATGTCAAGTGCTTCCCACAACCGACATGCACGCGTTGCATTAATAACTTGAGATATATCTTTCTCGGGTCGAGAGCGAGATATAGTATAGAAATCGTATGGGTAAGAAAAACGTCTTTTGAATAAAGACAAAATATCTCTCTAGATTATCATGTTATGTGTGTAGTTTTATTAAGATAGTAACAAACGAGGTTCAAAATATGATAGGTTATGTGAATCATTCAGTAATGACCAATAACTGATCACAAAGTTACCTTATTATGGTGAAGTCAAGTTTCTTATATGAAATATTATAGTGACTCAAAAGTGTGGGTGATTTATCGAACATTTTAAGGAATCAATAGTGACTCAGCAGTGATTGACCGAACGATAAAATTTGTTACCATTTGTCGCCTTGTTGACTTATTGAAAATATTACAGATACCTTTAATCTTTTTTCAATTTGCAGATCTGTGTGACAAAAGAGCGCGTTAATATTCAGCACAAGTACTTTTTTTAA